TCCTGAATCTAAAAAAAATTAAAGTTTCAACTTATATTTAAAAATTAAAATTTCAATTCAAAATTTAAAAATTCAATTAGTTTTCAAATCCAAATATTAATATTTAATATGATAAAATTTTAAATTTTAAATTGAATTTTAATTTAATAAAATGACTTAATTTAGGGTGAAGATATCAATTTTTTTAGGAATTAAGTCTGATATGCATTTTTTCTTTAATATAATATATTAAAATTTTATATAAAATTTATATTTTAAAAAATAAAAATTAATTTATTAAAAATAAATAGAGAAAATGCTATAGCAAATGCTATAAAATAAACAAGAGTAATGATAGGAAGGACAAAATTTTGGAATGAAAATTTAGAATCAATAATATAGTTTATGTTATATCATTAAATTAGTTGCTATATATAATAATATGGTCTAAACAAACAAAAGGAATTAATTAGGAGTGTTCATATTTGATCCAATCAAATTGATTTGATCAGAATCCAATAAAAAATCAAACCAATATGATAAAAAATTAGGTTGATTTGAATTATAAAATTTTAAAATTGATAAAATTGATTTAGTTTGTGGTTTTAATTTCAAACCCTCTGAATCGCTTGATTACAAAATAAAATCTAATTATAAGATAATTTAATTAAACAATATAATATTTTTTTGTAGTATTTTAAATTTTCTTTACAAGATAATAATTCTATTAACTTAATTAAAAACATAAAATTATAACATCCCCATATTCCCTAATTTATTTTTTCTTCTTAATCATACACTCTAATCCTAATTTTAAAATAATATTCTAATTTTCTTGACTAAGTTTTTAAGAAGTATTATTCTAGAAGTTTTAAAACTCTATAATAGAATTAGTCTTGATATTTTACTATTTTTAAATGTTGGTTGAGGAGTTTTAAATTTTGATTATGAATGCTTTTAATCAATTTTAATGATATTCATGTTCAATTTTATTCGTTTTTAATAAGGTTTGAAAGATAGAAATTGAATCATTTGATACATTAAGTAAAAAAAAAAATTTAACCTTTAATAATTACTTGCATTATGTTAAAAACTTGGAGTTATCTTTTAAGCAAAATACCCAAATCCACTCTCAAAGTATAGTGGTAGGGATGGATCTACCTTTAAACAAAAAAGGTTAAATACCCTTTTTGGTCCCTCTACTATAGGAAAAAGCCCCTTTTTAGTCCCTGTACCGAAAAAATCCCCTTTTTGGTCCTTACTGTTCACA